GTCGAGCCCGAATCCCCCAGTGCCACCTACACCCCTCACCAAGTGCCACCGACGCACCAGACCCCCAGCCCCTCCCCCCCCACATTCCTAGATACCCCTCAATGTCGTCATTAAAGCCAAGTAATCCCTCCTCCCACATTCGCACATACCCCTTTGTAAACCCATGTTACCGCTCCCCAGACATTCCCGCACACCCCCCCAGACAGGTTACCCCTCCCCAGACATTCCCGCATGGTTACCTCAATGAAGATAGTACAACAAACCGAAATACAGAAACACAAAAGCCATAGTAAGAAAAAAACTGAACAATGAAAATATGAAGTAACCAAAGTAACTAAAAGAAGTGGAAGCATGGTAAAATACATTTAAATCTCAGTGGAAGCACGAAGTCGCACAGTAGTGTCAATATGAAGAGAAAAAAAAAAAAGTAAACAAAAGGAAATATTATAAAAGAAGAATAACTATAAAAAAAAACCAAAAAAACAAGAAGAAGAACGAAACCTGTGAAACTCTAAATGAAGAAAGATACACACAAACTTCATCGGCGCGAAATCGAAGTCCTAGTCTACGGCGCATCGCACTGCCCGTCGTCTGTGTCATCATCATCGATGATGCGCTCGCCGCCTTTGCGGCACCTTCGCCGCCATCTCCTCTCCCTCCCCTGGATGTTGTGACGCAGACACGGCATGACTGGCAACTGCTCTGGCTGCCACCCTCTCTGCCTCCTGGACCTCCGCCTCTCTCTCAACACCCCCTCCAGCAGAACATCCCAAAACGCCAGTCAGAGTATGTCTTCCTACCCCTAGGCATGGGCACCCCATCCGTCGCGGAATCCTCCGTGCGGCCCCTAGCAGCTCGACGACTGCCCGGTCCGGTACCTGTCTGACGTTGCGGCTCCTCATCCAATATCCTGTGTGCAATAGAAATACAACCTCCACGGCTCGTCTGCAAAGTGACAGGATCAGGGTCATCCTCCAGCAATGCTGGGGGTGGTCGGGCACCTGGCAAAGCATGTGTGGAAGATCGCCCTTTCGGACGTCGATGACCATCTCGTTGTGCCGCACCTGCTAAGGGCGGTCATGATGGCGGTGCAACCATCGTGCTGCCCCGTCGATCTGCAGCACACGATGACCCGGCACCAGGATGCTCCAACCTATCTCCCTTCCGTACCCAACCTGCTGCGTCCGCAAACATCTTTGTCAACCTCCCCTCACGATCCCTCCTCTCACCCATGACCCCAGGCATAGCATCCTTGAGTTTGCAGGTGACCCTGCTGATGCCGCTCCACGATACGGACTTCCCCTTCGCCTTCGATGAAGGTGATGGAGAACCCTGCACCTGCCCGCGCCCTCCTGCCGTCGCCGGCGCAGCAGAACCCTCTCCCCAACCAACACTCCCGCCCGAAAGGCCCAACCGTCCGCCGACAACTGCGGGACCACCTCCCCCGCCCACAACACTGCCACCAGACTCACCTCCCCGTCCACTCACTGCCCCTGCACATGCTGGTCGTGTCCCTGCAGCAACTGGCCCTGCTCCCCATGATACCCCTCCCGGCTCGATAACCCTCTGACCTGTCAACTGCTCGAACAAGTCGGCCATCTCCATAGTCTTTCCAATATCCCCCGATACCCCCGAGGCTGCTGGCGGACTAACAGGCACGAAAGAAGATGGAGGCACAGCCTTCCAAAGCCTCTTCGATATATGCCTGCTCCTGCCCATCACTGGATCAATCCCAGCAGTGTGGAGCTCGAGTGGGGACATGCTGGGCACGTGTGCCTCTACAGGGTGAGCAACAACGTCTCCGGGGTCCACCTGTCGCTCCTCCTCGTTGCGATGTGCAACCATAGAATCCACCGCGACAAGACCATCCTGAGTGTGATCTGCGACCACATCCTCCATTGCGGCAACGACAACGCCGACAAGTGCTCTATCCACGTGCCCCTCCACCTCCGTGCCATCGCACCCAAGCAACCCCGCTGCGTCTGTCGTGGCCGCGCCGTCGCCCCCGTGCGCCTCATCAATAGTGGGTAGTACCGTATCGCTGGCCCCACATAAACCACCCAACCCTACCCTCGCGTCCTCCTGGTGGTCGTCCGCACGATCCACCACCTGTCCCTCTGTGCAGAGTCCTCCACCATCTGCAACATCTGCAGGACCATCGTGTCTACACTCTGCTGCTAGTCTGGCGGCAGTGACCTCCTCTACACTACACCCCATCTCCCTCGCCCTGGTCGTGTCCTGCTCCAACGCAAGCCGCTGTGTTGTGGCACACCCCGACACCATCCGTGCCAAACGCTCCTCCTCAAGCACGTCCTCGGGGTCCATATGTAGCCTCCTGGCAACACGACCGATGTCGTCACCAGTCCTGCTCTCCTGTATCTCGCCTGACGCTCTGGCAGCCTCTGTCAACAAACCTGAACTAACACTACCAAAAACCAACTTTATGAGGTGTGCGACTTCACTCACCGGTGTCTGAACACGCACCCCGCCGCGCCGAGCATTTGAAGTGGGTGGACGTCCAAGGTCAAAGTCGTCACTGAAAATGCCTGAGGGAATCGATCCCTGCGGTACCTCCAAACCAACTCCATGTCCGCCACTACCGCCCCCGCCCGCTGCACTGGGGCCAGGAGTAACAAGGAAGGCGCCACCCGCTCCGTCCTCAATCGGCCCACTGCCGTCAACGCCGTCGAATCCATGCTCGTCCCCATATCCTCTATCCTGGTCGGGTCCCTCTCTCTTGACATTGGAGTCCTCGTCATCGGCGGCATCTCCGTCGTCACACCTGTCACCTCCCTCGTCCTCGCTCGACGATCGCACAACCTGTGTTTGCTTGCGCCCTCTATCCGTCGCACTCCTAGTCAAGGGAGGGGTCATGCGATCAACATCACAATGGCTCTGCCGATCCCGCGAACGCATATCACAAGCAGCCTCATGATCACTCTCTCCATCGGACTCGTCACCAACATCAGGTGTGTCACTGCCTCTCTGCTCCAAGTCCTCCGGGTCCGTCCAGGGCTCTGCCTCCATCTCGTCTGCAGCATGCGGGTCCGTGGGTGGATCGTACTCGATCTCCTCGTGGTACAGCTCGATATGAGCTACACGACGACCAAACACAGTCTGAACCGCAAGGGGTGGCGAATCGTCGAGGCACGCTGCATCCTGCGCGCCTGGCGCGCGATCTCCTCGTCCGTCAATGACCCCGCCAGCAGAGTACCTGATCTGCGCGGCTTCGGGAGGTCGTCCAACCCCTCCTCAAGATCACCCCACGGTAGAACGTCCCCTCCTCCTCTGTCTACACGCCAGGAGCTTCTTGTTCGCGCACATCTCCACCATTTCAGTCAGCTTCGTGAAGTCCAACCCGTTGCGGCGCTTCTCGTGGATACGCTCGTGCAACACCCAGTTCCTCTCCGCAGGAGAGGCGCAGACCCACGTGTACATCAGACGTGTGGCGATGGCACAAAGCTCAGGGGCACAGCTGCCGTGCAAAACCCACCAATCAGCAATGGCCTGTGTCTCATCCGGCCCCTCGCACGTGTCCTCGTCTCCAGTGCCTGCATCTCCACCCCAATCATACCTCGGCCCGCGCGCATGGAAGTCGTACAACTGCCGACGGACCAACCTGTACCTGTCTCCCTGCCGGTCGAAGCCCGTCTGGGTGTAGATGTACAAAAGTGTCATCTCCGCACCTTCTTCTGCTGATCGCTGCGCCTCGGAGATTGGAAGTAAACGAAGTTCCGCCTCTTGGGATTGAAAAGATGGGTGGCAGCATGGGCGGGCTCGAGCAGATGGCATGCACGAGCGTAACAATCCTGCAGCATGCCAACCAGGCGAGGTCTCGTCGACTCCAACTTCCAAATCTCCTCGGCCAACTGGGTCACCCACCGGAAGATGCAAGAGATCACCAAACCCCCCTGGTCCAACATCCTCAACAACTCCACTACCAGGGTGAAGACGTCGATGAGATCATCCATCTCCTCCCAAAACAGCCTGCATCGCACCTGTGTGTGCACCCACCCGGCCTGCCCGAGCAGCCTCCTCTCCCATGGAAGTCGCGCCCAATCCCCCTCCAACATCATCGTCTCAAGTGGAACCTTGAGGTCGCGCAACCTCTCCATCATGATGTACATAGACAGAATCGCGTCTGGCAGGGGTACAACAACTCTCGGCCGCGTCGTGGTCTGCCTACTGTCCCCACTCCGCCCGCGGTGCTGCCACCCAAACGGTCCGCACGTGCATCGCGATCGGCCCTCGCGCTGTAACTCCTGAACAACGCGAGAGCCGATCCGTGACATCTAATGAATCGAACAGCCGCCCTCGCCCTGGTCAACAAGTCGATGGCCCATGTCTTATCCTTGACCATGTCTGACAACATCAAGTTGTAGCAATGGACAAAACAAGGGAGCCAAGGGATTCGACGGATACCTGGATCGGGATCGTTGCAAAGCGCTCGACCGGCGGCGACATAAACTGATGCAGAGTCCGTGCAGATGGCGTTGATGTTCCTCACGCCGAACTTCTCGAACACCTTCTTCCAGCGCTGCAAGACGACGTCTGACTTCTCTGCGTCAACCCCTTCCCTGCGCACTGTCGTGAAAAGAAAGGCGGCCGACTTTCCAACTGCCAGGAAGTTCGCGATGGGCTCAGAGTTCAGGGACTTCCTCCCATCCGTGAGGATGGTAGCCCCTGTGTGCTGCATCTGCTCGCGTATGTCACGTAGCTTATCAGCTATGTACGCACGCTTCTCCTGTATGCCACTGCCTGCTATGCGCTTGAACTGGGGCAAAGTAGACTTCATGCCCCGGGGCATGTTCTGCAAATGTCTCGTGAGGGCCCTGTACTCGGGCATCCTCGCCCTCTCAAATGGGACACCGCCAATATACCACCACTGCACGAAGAGATGGTCGAAGGTGGTCTGCCACTCCGGGTCGTACATCTCATCTAGTCTGACCTGCTTCAAACGTTTCGGGTCCGGCACGCGTGCCGCAGGAGCGGTGTCCGCCCTCCTCTTCCCACGGCCATCCATAGGCGCACGAGTCCTTGTCTGATGAGCAGTGCGTCGTGCCTTCAATGATCCCCCCTGAAGGGACGCTCCTAACTCCTGAACATCGTCCTCGCCGCCGTCCTCCGTCGGTCCCTCGCCCTCACCCTCCGCCCCTGTGTCCATCTCATCGTCCTCGCCGCCACATCGTCCTCCTTCGCTGTCCGCCCCCTCCTGGTCCAAAACATCGTGCACCTCGTCATCCTCCCCCACTCCAACTCCCACCTCTCTGTTATTCCGGATGCCACGATACTCCATGTAATCCCGCACCTGTCTCTCTCGCCGCTGGTCGAAAGGGTACTGTGTGGTATTCCAAATGTCTACGAGGACCTCTGGTGTCACCTTGGGGCACCTACCCTTCGTAAAGTGCTCAGCACCCCGCGCCTGACTGCCCTGGAAAGGTGGTTGGTCGCAGAAGCGGCACTTCATCATCTTGAAGTTTCCCTTGCAACTCTCCAGCATCTGACCCTTCGTCAAGTACTTGAATACGCAGCAGCGGCGAATAGCCTCGCGCTGGTCGTCGTCCTTGACCAGCACAAAGGCCTCCTTCGCGCCCTCCCCTTCCCCCTTTTTCCTTTTCCCTGCCATCCGCTCCCCCTTTTTCTTTTTCCCTGTCATATCCAACCCCCCCCTCCCCCCCCCCTGAAT